AGCCACTAAACTGTGGCCCCAGTACGCTTACACAACTGGCAGAAGCATAGACCATGCGATCATACGTGCCTTGCATCACTGCTCCCAGGTCCAACAAATCCTGGCGTCGCAACGTCTTACACTACGAGAACGTCGTCACACTGGCCGGAAGCCCACCTCTTGTCAAGGGGGAGTAACGCTCTCTATTGATACGAGCAAAGCGTTTGACACTGTCAACAGACAGGTTCTCGAGCAAGAGCTGCGGGCGGCCCGTGTACCGGAGCCGGAGCTGGCAGTTATCCTCAATCTCCACCACTGCATTGGCTACTGGCCTGCAGGCCAGGACCCCACAACTCGCGTGGAGAGTGAAAGGGGTGTGCGGCAGGGATGCCCACTAGCACCGAGCTTATGGACTCTCATCACCATCGCACTGTTTCGTGCGCTGGCAGGCGTTACCTCCGTCACATGGCTGCAAGAGGACACCACGATGTTCGCGGACGATCTACTACTCCAGTGGATCGTCCACCGAGTTCAGGATTTGGAGAATATGGTGGACATCATCGCCCACACATTTCGGATCCTAGCTCAGCTTGGCCTTCAAGTTCAGCATCGGAAAACACAACTCATTGTGGCATATAAAGGAAGGCAGGCCACACAATGGTGGCGAGCTCACACGGCCACCACTGCGGAGGGCCGCTTCCTGCTTATACCCCAACCTGGCAGCAAGGCACTCCGCCTGCCCGTGACTAAGCTGACGTACCTAGGCATTATCCTCTCCTATGTGGATGCCACCACTGCCACTGTTGACCACCGTCTGCAGGTAGCCGAAGCGCAGCGAGCTCGCCTTCTCAAGGTCCTCCACTCCCGCACACTGCCCACGACTAAGAGAGTCCAGCTCTGGCAAGCTTGTGTTCGGAGCTCTGCTCTGTATGGGTCGACTTACAGCAAAGGCATGTAGTCCGGATCACAGTCACCCTGGTTAGGCATCTGAGAGCCATCGCACGCAGCTTTGCGCACATGACTCAGGAATCTAGCAGAGCGCTGCTCGAGCGCCTGAACGTAGAGGACCCCTTACTTTCCTTGCTGCAACGGAGCCAAAAACTTCTTGTCAAGACTCGTGAGTCTAGCGATCCCATGGTCGCCAGGCCTCGGATCATGCACTGGTTGGTTCATATCACTGAATCCAAACTGGCGCTGACCTCACACCTGGATCGGACCGTAGCGGAGCCCTTGGTTATTAACCCGTCACCTCCAGATGCTGACCTCCAGTCTGAGGCGATCGCAGCTGCATCTCCCACGCTCCTGCCCGGCCCCCTGAAAGGGGTGCCGTACGGAGCCCCTGTCGCTGGTAAGCACGGTCCTAGAACCACTCGTTTCTCCTGCCCAACCTGCGACCTCTGGTTTCCGGACCTGGCTACTCTCAAAAGGCACCATATTCAGTTTCATGAAACCCCCCTACTCTCATCCCTCTTCAATTTCCACACCTGCCACCACTGATCCTCCCAAAGAGTCGATAGGTACCACAGTGCTTGACGAGCAGATTCCTGCTAAAGTGACCGAGGTGACTACGACAGCAACGGCCCCGACCCCGGTGGTGCCGTACACTGTTGCCACTCCCACGGGCTCACCGCTTGATGGCTTGCTGCCAGAAAAACCTGAGGACTGGCTACGATTTGCTAGACAGCCCAAAGCTCAGGAGCTTTTGCGGCAATTCTGCACTACGTGCGGACAGTGGCTCGTATCGGTCAAGAGCGTCAAGTTGCACTATCGCTCAGTGCATCAGGCTCTATATACGACGCACGGTGCGTCTGCGGCAGCAGATTGCCGAAAAATGGGGCATCTCATTTCACCCTGCGTCTTTTGCGGCACTAAGGTTACACGAACCGACCAGCATGCTGCAACATGCCCGGTCCTTTGGCAAGCCCGCATCTGTTGTCTTGCTCAGAGTAGCTTGGTTTCACCTGCCCCTGCTCTGGTCGCTCCTCCCAATTGCGATGGCAATGGAGAGCTTGCAAATGGACCTCGACCAGGAAGAACAGAGTGTGTTTGGAGGGCTTCTAGGGAAAAGAGCCCTACAGACGGACTTGACAGAGAATCCAACCAAATATCAGCATCCAGGAGGCAAAGGCCCTCCGCCGCATCGGAGCAGCGGCACGCGCCAACAGCAGCAACCGTTGACGGGACGCGGCCGCCATGCGGCCCCCTTTCAGGGGAGCCGGGGCAGCGACGTCCCAGACAATCGCAATGGACCCTCCAAGATGCCTTCGGGAGATCATGCTCTGCTGCATCGAGTTGCAAAGGCCCTCATCGTCCAAGCGGACTATCTGTCGCGCCTTCAGAGCGATCACACTGTCATCTTCACATTTCGAACAGGCAACGGCCCACAGCTGATGGTGCCGCTTCTCCAGGAGGTGGCGACAACTTGGCGCGAACAACGACAGCAGAACAAGGTGACCCGCTCCTTGAAGCAAACTCTCATCCAATATCTTGCAGCCGAACTGGTGACCAGAATCAATGCCTTCGCAGCCGACACCGAGTCCCAGAAGAAGGCCCAGGAACTAGGATGGACCACGTCGGAGGGGGAGTTCAACTTCTTGGACTGGGACTTCGAGGACAAGAAGCTCGTCCCCCGGCAAGGGGAGACGCTTACTCGCGATCAACTCCTCACAGATGCCAAGAGACTCAAAGCCCTGCTGAAGAATCCAGACCTAGTCTTGAAGTTCAGCGGAGGCCGCAACGCCAAGCCCACTCGACATCCGAGACAGCGACATTTGTGTTGGAGCTGTCCATGCAGCAACCAGAAGCATCGGAGGCGATGGCGATCTTCCGGAAATGGTATGCCAACTCAGCGCTCCTGCTCCTCTCTCTCCGGCTCAAACCGGCCCGCCCAGAGCGGTCGCCGTTGATCAAGGAGATCCAGGAGGCTGTGGGATGGTAGATGGCAGGGAACTCAGATCTGTGTGCATTCCTGCTGCATTGCTACATCTTACACTGCGCAACCCAGACAATCTTTGTTACATAAATGCCACTGCGTATCTGCTAGCCTACATTCAACACCTTGCAGGACCCTGTGCTCCAGTCCATGGCACCCAGTCTCTTGAGCGATCACTGCAAGATTTGTTGAGTGCTCCTGTCCCTATACCTGGAGAGCGGATCACCATCCCTGACCTCCCCACGTGGCACTCTTCTCTCAGCGGCTGGACGAACCTGCATCGCCAGCAAGATTGCCTTGAGCTCATACATCACTTATTTGACCAACACTGCCCAGCACACATGCGATGTCAGTGGGAGGCAAGACCGATACCAGGTACTGTTGCGGCACGCAGACCCCTTATCAGTGGTCTGTTCAACATTGACCTCCCTCTCCCTAAGAAAACCTCCAGTGCCACCATCCAAGAATGCATTATCAGCTGGCACGAACAGAAGATTCCCCACGGCCTTCTCCAAGCACCGCCCTACCTGCTCACCAGCCTTGCCCGATATGCCAACCCCACCAAGGGGAAAAACAAGACGTGTATCCCCTGTAAGGCCATGCAGCGAGTCAGTTTCCCTGTCTTTCGAGGTCCTGGACATGAGATCCAATGGGCCACCTACGAGCTGGTGGCGGGGATTTTACACCTGGGGCCCTCGCCCCAGCAAGGCCACTATCGTGCATTTCTTGCGCATCCACGTGATGCCCAAAACTTTGCATCCCAGGTGTCTGCAACTTCACGGCCAGGAGATGTGGCACCTGCAAGTGCACCGGGGATTTCGGCCCCCTCGGGGAGACCGTCGGCCCCTTCGGGGAGCCTGACCTACACCTGGTGGTGTACAGAAGATGGTCAACCGCCCGAGCTGTGTCATCCAACATATGCTCGAATCCTGAGTGAGAATTGCTATATTCTCGGCTTTCGTCTCACTGAGCTTTGATCTGTATAGCCAGTGATGCCGGTGTTAGAGTTAGTATCGAACTGCGGACTGCAAGTCCATGTAGTCAGAGCTCGATTTCAGTTTCAGTCTCAGCTCATCGAGCTGATATTGTCTAAGGCGATGTACATTACAGCTCTCGTTAGCCGCGCTGAATTCATTTCTGAAATCGGCGTGTCGCCTACGCCGCGCAAGGGACCAGGGGACGGTTCTGCGATCGCAAAGTCAAAAAGTCTCTCTCTTTCTACACAGCGTGTGTATGCACGTACACGGCGTGTCTAGATAAATTTAGAGCGCGAGAGAGAGAGAGAGAGAGAGAGAGAGAGAGAGAGAGCGAGAGAGAGAGAGCTGCTATGGAGCAACTTTTGACATTTTCATCATGTAGTGCGGTTGGTCAAAGCAGGCTATTGAACATTGGGTTTAGGGTTTAGGAAGCAGTTTATTGAGCATTAGGGTGTTTATAGTGTTGTAAAATGGTTTTTTAGAGTGGGTGCTTGGTCAAGACAGCGGTTTTTGGCACGTTTACTCAAGTCGGTAGGGCGTCAGTAGGTCTAGTTTAGCCGAGTTTCGTTTTTTTTTGTTCATATCCTCAATTCATGATGAAGTTTCTGACGTGGGTTGTTGGAGTGTTTTTGGTTTTTGCGGTGCGGGGATCCGAGTTTCAGGATTAGAGCTTTGGAATTTCCGCGATCTCACCTGAGGCGCACGGGTTTCGAGGAGGGATGGAGTGCCTAAAACACGCAGCCCTCCGAAATGCAGTAATATAGGTCCTTATTATATTTATGGTATAACGGATCCCCGAAACCCTAGTCTAATTACTAAGACCCCTATAGTAGACTCTGTCAACAAACAAATGCGGTGCCTTATCCCTGAGCAGACGACCCAGAAACTGTGAGTACAAAAGGGTAGTAATCCTCATGCAAAGTCCCTACACCAACGGCCTAAAGAGTTGCCTACCCAAAGATTCCTGAGGCACAGGACCCTTAGTTGGGGTTCGAGCTTCAGGTTGTACCGACAACGTCCCTTTCTAGGCCCAATATACTTCTAGTATGATAGTTGTTGAGGCCCCCGAATGACACCTAGAAGCCTCTGGCGCGGCACTCTTGGCTTTCGAGGAACTTCGTCACGAGACAGACTTGCTCCAGCCAGAGCCCGGATGCTGGGCGTGGATTGTTAGCAGCTCTCCTCCGCATGGGCAATCCGGGTACCTTGCTCTCATAACCTTGAACCCTACACCCGAATGCAGAATGACCCGTAAAGTATCCATTGTAGAGTTCCTTTAGGGGAACCCTGAGAGGGCATGCCCTTTTCCAAAGCCAAGCTCAGTGCGTGGCAAAGATGCGATTCCATGGTGGAAGTTAGGGTCTAGGGCCCGGAAATCCTAAAACCTGGCAGTCTGCCTGAAAGTTCCATCTGATGCGAGCCTCCGCAATCCCGAAATCCAGTGGGGAAAAAATCCAAAACTCCAGACTCCACAGCCCTTAAAAGCTCCAACCGCCCCGACAGTAACCGCAACAGCACTTCCTCAGAAAAAGCATGGTAGAACCTCCAAAAGGTCTCTTGTGGTAGCCCTCGTTAGAACCCTTGTGGCAACTTTTCGAGGTCCTCAAAAGGTTACCCTTGGAGCGAAAGCCGAGGATCCTGATTATCGGCTCGGTTTCCCACGCGGAGTCCTTGTCTGCCTGCGAGGCATTGGGGGTGTCGGCTTTCGGGCGAATTTCGGCTCGGGAGGCTCAAGTCTGGGAGTTAGGGAGTAGGCTTGGCTTCATGCTCTCTTGCGCAGCATTCTACACCATCACTTCCAGAACCCCTGCAAACTTGCTCGGTTTCTGCCTCGTGCGAAATTATATACCTGTAAAGATTCCTACATCAAGACAGCTAGTCGCGTGCCCTCAATCAGCTCTATAAAGTCACCTATACTGCGCCCTAAAACTCTTAAAGCCGGAATTCCTAACCCCTCATCGTCTTACATTTGGTTAGTAAGGAATGGGGTACCTTTATAAGTACAATTACTACCGTTCTTCCATTCCCTACTAACCAAAGGTAAGTCCTTGGCTGAGGTCTTCCGGTTCCTGCTGCAGGGTCAGCTGCACGTGGAGTGCGAGGTGGTCCACGGAAAGCGTCAGATGGTCAGCTGGAAGCCCTGGGCCTCTCAGCCCGCACGTAAGTTGATAGTCCTCGTCGTTGTAAGAGTAGTAAGAGTGATAGTAGGAGTAGGAATAGTAGGAGTCGGAGCAAGAGTACCAGCAGTAAGTACGTTATACCTGGAAGGATACTATTAATAACTATTGGGATACTATTAGGAGTAGAAGTAGCAGTAGGCTTACTACCTCGTGGTGCTCTTGGTCCGCGGCATCTTCAACGATCCGCTCTTCGCACGGATGTTGCTGGCCTCATCGAAGCCGCCCGGGCGCAGCTTGCAAGTCCTGAATCTCGCCGCAAATTAGGGGGGTACCTATTTTGGGGGTCCGTGTAATGAGGATCCTACTATTTATGGTGCTATATTAGGGTCCCCTGTTTTCGGAAACTCCCAAATTGAGAAAGATTTGGAGTGCCGCCAGCTTCCAGTCTGGGACTTTGCGAGTGTGAAGACTTGGATCTGAAGGCATTAAGCTTTAAAGTTAAAGCCCCCGAAGCTGTCTGATTGCGCTCCTCGGCGTTCTACAGGACTCTGGTCGCTGATCCGCAGTTCGAATTTCCGAACTTCGATCAAGACCAAAGTGCCTTCTCCGTTCACGAGGGACCGACAGCCGACCACGAAGAGCTTTTTCAGGCAAGCGGGAAACCATCGATCCAGCCATAATTTGATGACACTACTATATTCCTTATGGGGGTAATATAGGGATTATTATTTTTATTTTTTCGTGGTTTCTTAAGCAAATAGTAGTGACACCAGTAAGGGCATTGCTTGCAGAATTCGAATGAACGGCACAGGATCCCACAGACCAGAAGCTACACGTAGGCCATTTCGGCAACACCGGACTCCACCACTCACAGACATCCTGACAGCCTTCTGCGCTTTGCAGTAAATTGCGGCCTCCTTGGAGCGAAAAAGCGCCGCGACAGGCTTTCCGGAGCCTGATGAACGTCGTGGCCCTGCCATTCTCCCCCCTGGCATCAGAAGGTGGGCACGGCTGCGACGAAGCCCCCAGCCCCTGAATCTTGCTGCCCAGGAACCCCCCAAAAACCTTAAACCTTGAAGCCCAAAATGCACCTCCCAAGGAAGACAGATGAGCTTTAGTACTTGTCCAAACCTTTGACACCAGAGACTTCCAGAAGGAAGGCTTTCATTGCAGCGGCCACAGAGTGTTGCATGACCCCTTGCTGCACCAGGCCTTCAACAAAAGCAAGTGGCTGAAATTGCTGAACGCATCCACCGCTACAAGGACGAAGCGGTGTTCTCTACGTGCAGTTTTGTCTCCACTCGAGGCACTAACGAGCATACCAGAAATCGGGACATACTTGTAGCTCCACGTTTCGCCAATGTACTATGTCCAAGCATGGATAGGTCCCGGACGGCATAGTCATGATTAAGTGAGCTTTTGGTGGCGGTGTGTAGAGATGCATGTCCAGGGGCAAGAAGCTATACTCGCAGCACAAATTGATGGTCTGTGCTCCGAGAATCGCAGAGCTCAGCAGCTGCTGTTCTCCCCAGAGCGCTTTGGCACCAGGCGAAGCGAGGTGAGGCTTTAATCAGGGTTTAGGGATCCCGCTCACCGCCTTTCTTATTGTGAGAGCGGAGGCAAATCTCAGATCTCCGTTTCGCATTGTGGGAGCGGCCTTGCCCTAACCCTTATCCGCCTTGTCAACCAAGAGCTCTGAACCCCCGAAGCCCCCTAACAAACCTGAGCCTTGCGGGCTTCCGCCAGGACCCTGCAGCTGCTGGGAAGGATGAGGCAGACGACCGGGCGACGGAAGTGCCAGAGGCGAGGGAGGTCCTTGGCACCCGGGTCTGAACAATTCTTGTAATAGAGGGGCCTAAAGAATTACCAATACTATTTTGGGGGGGGGTTCCTTATCATAGTTTTGGTATAGTGGGCCCCAAAGCCCTATTCCGACTATTAAGGCCCCTATAGTACCAAGATCTCCTTGTCGCGGTGGTCATGATAGCAGTATACTACACCCCAGAACTCCTTTCTAAGTATTCCGGCCCCGACATTGGGCTGAGGTTTGGATTTTGGGGTGTGTTGTTTCGGTCTTGGGCTCGTGCCATGCTTTCGACTGAGAATCCCAAGTTCCTTCCAGTAAAAGGTAACATAGGGGCTTCAACAATCACCCATACTATTGGGGGGGTCCTTAGTATATTTATAGTAAAATGGGCCCCAAAACCCTATAAACTAATTATTGCGCCCCCTATATTAAGTCCTTCTGAGCTTCAAAGTACTGCAACATGGCCCGCCAAGCTTGTGGCCGCAGTGTTCTACGGTGTCGGTATGAAGACGAAAAATTATCAATCCTACGAAGATTTGCGTGATGCAACGGAACTGACAGAAAAAAGTATTCCATAAAACAGTTGAGTCATTATCCGGACGTAGCCTGTTGACATCAACGCCAGCGAATTCAAAACAAGTTTGCTTCCCAGTGTGCTGTTTTTTCGTAGGCTATCGGAGAGGGTTGTTTGCTGATTAACTTACGCGGTTTTCCCAAAACGCCAACACTTCTCTACACCTTAAGCCTAGATTCTGCAAACATCAACGATCCCACAGCCGCTAACCTGCAGCCGGTCTGAGCGATTCGGAATGTCATTCCCTCCTAAAACCCTGAATAGGACCGTTCCTTGCTCCAAAATCTGCCAGAAGACACCCCCAAGCCCCGTCCTAAACAGGAGGCCCCTGTATGAAGACCCTCAACCCTAAAACCCCGAAATTCCAACCCTTGAACCCCAAAACCCCTACCTATACCCCTAAACCCTAAACCCCGATGCTGGACAGGACCTCCCCGTCGAACCCCGCGGTTCTGACGCCAGCTTGGAGACCTTTGGCTTCGGACTCTTCGCCGGCAGTGGGCTTTGCCTTATTGGGATTTTCCGAAATTAGGGGTGACTAATTTTCAAGTCCTTATAACTAGCATCCTACTATTTGGGGTACTGTATTAGGGTCCCCTATTTTTGGAAGCTCCTTTATTGGGTGTTCTCCCTAAGGTGCTTTTTGGAGTTCCTTTAAGGAGACTTCAAAAAAGAGCCCTGGTAAGGACACTCATGACTCATAATAGAAATCTTAAACTTAGTTGCTGACTTCATAAGCCCCCAAAAAGTGTACACATGTAGTTTTATAGTCTGTAACATGACCCCAAACAGGGTAAAGGGTATCCACTCAGCTACTGTAAAGGAAACCTAAAACTAGAACCCTTGGAGGTTCTCCTTCAAGGCTCTTTTGGGTTTGAGGGATTTCGATGCTTTGTCTTGGTTTGGGGAGGTGGGGTGTATGGACGAGCAGAAGGCTAAGAACGAGCAATGCTTTTGAGCGATTGCTGGTGAGCTTAGACTATACGCAGGATTATCAAACGTCATACAGTGACGGAGCTTTCAGGGTTGATTGGCTTTAGTTTGTAGGGCGTCAGCGCGTAGCTGTGCTCGAAGTTTCTTACCAGCGTTTTAAGAAGTATATATGTTGCACTGCATGGAGCTGCCCCAGGTTGGGGGCGTCTATGTAAGGACTGTAAAGCTTAGATGTGATGTTGGCATTCTTGGTTTCATGCAGCTATCAAACGACGGTTTGAATGAAAAGCGATACAAGCAATCCAAGTTTGATCCCAAGCTGCCTATGTGTCATTGTGTTGACCTTAGGGCTCGTTTTGAAAGGGACCTTCTCGGATGACCAGTTGTGGGCTGAGGGGATTTTTTGGATCTTGTACGGGGTCGGCTGCTGCTGGGAAAGCTGCGCTGTTCTTGATGGGTTTCGGTGAAGGCCGCAGGAGTTACAGTAAGAACTCAATCTCAATCACAACATCATACCAAATACCAACTTGAGAACGGTAGCAAGGTGTATAACTAGCTTTAAGCCATCCCATTTGATGACAAAGGCCTGTCGGAAGACGAGGCGTCACGGGCTGTTATGGAGACGCCGGATGCCATCAGTATTTGAGTACAGTGTCAGTCTCTCAATGCACTGCCCGATGGTGCGAGGATGCGGTGCGAAGCTCAAGGTCGCACAGGCCCCAAAACTTCCCTTAGGCCTAAAACTAAAACCCTAAGTCTCCAAACACCTCCTCCAGGCGTTCTTCCCCAAACCCGAAAAAACTCGAAAGCCTGCAAAGTGCAGAAGTCGCCCCATCCTGGCTCTATCGGACCGGACCGGTCTCGATAATGGCTAACAGATGTGCTTCCAAGACGAGAGAGGGGATTCAACACAGGGCCCTTAAGAACTCCTATAGGCTTTGGGGGTCTAGTATCGTGTACTTGGAGGGGCAGGGGACTTAGTAAGTAGGTTATAAGTAGGGTTAACATATGAGTAACTCCAGTTAGGGTACTTATAACTCTACTTATCACCTACTTACTAAGTCCCCTGCCCTTCCAAGTAGTTCGGCTGAGGAAGCAAAATTTCTTGGCAACCTGGGGCTGGTTGCACTGTTTGCGATGGTCGCGCTAGGATTTTATACCGCCTTTACTTTCAGGGGGGGCCCGTATAAGGCTTTCACAGTAGGGCCTAAAGAGTTAACTATAAGAAGGTGAACGGTCAGGTTTGTAGGGCTGTGTGAAATGCTGTGGGTTTATGTTCGAGCGGTTTAGGGAGTAAGTTTTCGGGCAATTGGACGTTTCGACAGGCACTGGAGCAATGATGCAGTATTGTGTGCGCAATCACCTCAGCCCCAAAACCTTTTGGGCACGGGTACTACTATAATGTGTAGGACAAGGGTACCCCTCATTTTCAGGTTTTATTCGGCAGCGCATGGTTCAAGAATGTCCTGGAGTTTGCCGTACTGCTTCCGCAAGCATAGTAGCTGAGCAGGTAAGCCTTAACCTTTTGGGGTTTAGGGTTTAGGGTAGGTGGTTATATGATCCTACCGTAATTGAAAAGATTAACCTTTTTGGGCTAGGGCGTTCAGCCCCTAAGCAAGTAGCTTACAATGTCTTTGGGAACTGTGAGAGCTCGACTTCTTGCGGCACGCCGGCTACATTGAGTCGTTGGAAAAATGAGGTGCTCCCTGCCGAAGGCAGGCCATGCATGTATCACGAAAGTCGAACTCTGCTGAATCGAAGCTGAGGTTTCTGGCTTATGGTCTCGGGCCTGAGTAGATAACAGCTCTTTTCTTAACAGATCCTTCAAGCATGCATACCGTATACCCAATTCGAATAGTGTTTTGGGGAGATATAATCTGTATGGATCAGTGGACTGATAGCGCGATACTAATCGTTGTTATGCTGAGGGTCGTTATTGCTTTTTCTTGCGTCTTGCCAGGCTGGGTCTTCGGGTCTCGAGTGGTTTTCACCTGGCAGCTTCTTGCAGCGTCTCTATGTCAGGTCGGCTTAAATGACAAAGACCACTAAAAGCAATCGATTGCACACGTTTTGAAATGAACTAAACCTAAGACGTTGTTGCCGGGCGACAAATTTGCATGTCTTCAGATTGAAACCGCTGCTGTCATGGCCACGACATACAGTATGTTTGCCTTTGTGAGTGCTTCATGTCCCCACCCGGTCGTGCTTCACAAGAAAGTGAGTGGGCAGGTTACCTGCAACTGGCTTGATGGATGTACTGTGGTTTGTTCTCTCCAGTGTTTCTGTCTGTTCAATCGAAGCTAGTGCTCATTGCTAAGCTGTTTCTCGCAACTACATAAATCCAGTTGTCAATTTATTTTTCAAGTTTCCTGGTCTATGCAATGACGAGAGGCGGTCTTAGGATGTCAGCTGTTGGTGTCGCTTTGTTGGGACTGGACATGCCTCGATTCAGCTGCGACGAAATCCCACGACCTGAGAAGCCGTGCAAACACATCCGTAGCTGATGTCCTTCGTGGTCGACATTGGCAGCGACTTTAAGAAGTTGCATCCTTCCTGCAAGACGTAGTCTGCAAATGCTTCCATAGACTTCTATGCGAATGGAAGGCCCACAACCGAAAAAAGAGAGCATCCTGGCTGACGAGTCGCTCTTAGCTACAAAGGCCGATCCGATGCCTTAGAATCGATTT